TGTAATCTTTTAATGTACTCATGTGATTTTATTAATTAAAATTTGTGGGACCTGCTGACAACGCAGGCAGAAATTCCAGAGAATTTAATTTGCTATCACTATATTTAACCCTGTAACTTTCCAAGACACCATAAAACCTGTACATGGAGGTACTCGGGGAAACTTTGCTGAACACAAACATTAGTGGTTTAAAATGGTAAATCGTATTACAACGATGATATTGTCAGTGGAATTGACTTTTTTTGCATTTTTCACACAAACAGCACTTTCATGGACGATATTGCTGTAATAAGTTTTTACTGTTTTGAAACACGAATATTTGTGTTCAGTGAAGTCTCCCGAGAATAACAGTACCCCCCATGTATAGGTTTTATGGTGTTTTGGAAAGTTACAGAGTCAAATATAAGGCTTGCATTTCAGTTTTTTTCAAATTGAGATTTGCCAGTTTGGTTACGTTGCCTTTGAGAGCGTATGGTACCATTTGCAAAAGTAGACAACCCAAGGTATTGCAAATGGGGTATGTCCAGTGTTTTTTAGTAGCTAAAGTTAGCTTTCATATTTGTTTTTTTGTGTTTTTCACACAAAAAAAATATGAACGCTACCTTTGGCCAGTGTTAGTGACTGAGTGGCTACTAAAAAAAGACTGGACCGACTCCATATTGAATACCCTGGGTTCACTATAAGAAAAAGAGCAGAGGTAGAGCCAACAATTAGGTACACTAAGAAAATGGGGGGTAACCCCAGGTAGAAATTATCAAAAAAGAAAAATAGTGTACCTACACAGTGTGAAATAGAAATCATAAATTAGGACGGACTGTCAAATCTCAGAGATACTACACTAGTTGCTACCAGAGAAAGTACTAGATCAATAAAAAAAAAAAAAAAATACATTTTTAATTATAACAAATCTTAACATGTGGTGAATATGCTTGTGTACACACACCCTGGGTTCACTACTTTTGCAAACGGTATGCCATGATGGGGGTAATTCTCATTCCTGGGCTACCATACGCTCTCAAAGGCAACATAACCAATGTGGCAAATTTCAACGTGTATAAACTGAAAAATGTAAGGTGCTATATTTGGCCCAAAACGCCATAAAACCAGTACATAGGGGGTACTGTTATTTTATTGCAGTAAAAGCAAACCGTATTATGACATTTACAGTTAAAATGCCACGCAAACTAAAAAAATGAAAAAAAAATTCTCACACTTTAGATTTTAATTATAATAAATTGAGATATATATATTTGATGTGACATGAAAGCCTGGTTTCTCCTGAAACAAATGATATACAATTAGTGTGGGTGTATTTAACCCCTTAAGACCGGAGGGCGTACTATTACGCCCTATTTTAGGCGGCTCTAAACGCCGCCGGGCGTAATAGTACGCCCTCCGGTCTTTCTATACTTACCCGGTCGCCGGCGATCGCGTTTGGGGGGACTCCCAGGGAGCCCCCCCGCGGCAGATCCTCCTCCTCCGGTGCCCCCCGGCCATGTGAGAGTGAGGTCCTTGCGAGGACCTCACAATCACATGGCCGGGATAGCTGGCTTCTGTATTGCCAGCAGGGGGGCTGCCTGTAATTACAGGTGGTCCCCCTGCTGGCTAGAAATAAAATTAAAATAAAATTAATAAGTGTAAAAAAAATATATACTTAGATCATATATATATATATATATATATATATATATATATATATATATATATATATATACACACACACACACACACACACACACACACACACACATTTACACATACACGAAGTGTATTTAAATATTAATATATATAATTATTTATATATTACTATCAAATTACACGTAGACTAATACTGATTAAATATATATATATATATATATATATATATATATATATATATATATATATAAAAATTAAATGTAAATACGTTAAATAAAATTAAAAAAATAATTAAAAATTATATAGATGTGTTATTTCGTTCTAACTGTATTGTGATATTAATATATATTTATATCAAAATACACGTAGAACGAAATAATATATCTACATACATAAATATATACGTATATATCACTATATATAAATAAAAATATTACAAAAAAATTATATATACACATAGATTCATATACATATATATATATATATATATATATATATATATATATATATATATATAATGTACAATGGTAGATAGGCAAGGCACTCCTCCTCAAACTTATTCAAACGAGTTCAAAAATTGCCTAGGTGCAATCCCGCGTAAAATATACAACCAAAAGTGAAGGGAGCACACTAGGACTGCTTCTGAGTGGCAAAAAATAGTCTTTACTGTATTATAAAATAATACATGTCCTGTGCAGAATACAGACAATCGACGTTTCGAAACGTCGATTGTCTGTATTCTGCACAGGACATGTATTATTTTATAATACAGTAAAGACTATTTTTTGCCACTCAGAAGCAGTCCTAGTGTGCTCCCTTCACTTTTGGTTGTATATATATATATATATATATATATATATATACACACATATATATTCACATACAAAAGACTGGATATATATATATATATATATATATATATATATATATATATATATATATATATATATTAATTCTACATATATATTGTGTACATTTTACATAATTGGGTATCTTAATTAATTACAATTAGCGGGACCTGCTTGACAACCCATGCCGAAAGTAAAGGGAATTTAATTTGCTAGCACTATATTTAACCCTATAACTTTCCAAGACACCGTAAATCCTGTACATGGGGGTACTATTCTACTCGGGGGACTTCACTGAACACAATAGTTATACTGAACAGTAAATGTATTACAACGATGATATCGCCAGTAAAAGTGATATTTTGCATTTTTCACACAATAAACAGCACTTACACGATCTATATTATTAAGGCGTATACTTTTACTGTTTTGAAAATTATTATATTTGTTTTTCCGCGAAGTCTCCCGAGTACAACAGTACCCCTCATGTACAGGTTTTATGGTGTTTTCAAAAGTTACAGCGTCAAATATAAGGCTTGTGTTTCATTTTTTTCACATTAAAATTCGCCAGATAGGTTACGTTGCCTTTGAGACCCTATGGTAGCCCAAGAATGAAAATTACCCCTATGATGGCATACCATTTGCAATAGTAGACAACCAAAGACAACTTTGGCCAGTGTTTGTGACCAAATGGCTACTAAAAAAGACTGGCCATACCCCATTTGCAATACCTTGGGTTGTCTACTATTGCAAATGGTATGCCATTATGGGTGTAAATTTCATTCCTGGCTACTATAAAGTCCCAAAGGCAACGTAACCAATCTGGCGAATTTCAATTTCAAATGTAACGTGCTATATTTGACCCTGTAACTTCCGAAAACGCCATAAAACCTGTACATAGGGGGTACTGTTTTACACGTGAGACTTTGCTGAATGCAAATATGTGTATTTTATTGCAGTGAAAGCAAACAGTATTATGACATTGACCGTTAAAATGTCATGTAGAACTAAAAAAATCTCCCATTTTTTTCATATTAAATTATGTTTCATAGCTAAATATTTGATATTAAATGAAAGTTTAATGTTTCCCCTGAATAAAATGATATATAATAAGGGTGGGTGCATTTACTATGAAAGAGGTGAATTACGGTTGGACAGACATGTTGTGCAAATGCCAGGTTTTGTTTACATTTTGTTTTGTTCACAACGTGTACGTTTGGCTCAGTCCTTAAGGGGTTAATATGAAAGAGGAATTACAGTTGAACAGACATATAGCGCAAATTCCTGGTTTTGTTTACGTTTAGTTTTGATCAGAATGTGTACAATTGACTCCGGCCTTAGGGGGTTAAAGTCTGATATTTTTGGAAACTCTTTATTTTTTTTTTTTTTTATTATTTTTTTAAATGATTGATCTACAAAAATTCTCATAAATCAAGCCCTTAATACACAGAGTTGGAGTTGCTAAAGCCTTTGTAAACCTCCTCTGCTCTGTTACTTCAGGACTCGTCCTGCGCCTCTGCCAGTACTTGTTTTTAGGTATTTTCTCTGCATGCACGTTAATATTTAGTTTCTTTTCACAGACAAGTCACAGCCCTGAATGCCAAGATGTGTTAAAGTTTATCAGTCGGTGGTGTGGTGGCCTCCCAAACACCAGCTTCTCCTTTCAGTGAAGGACTACGTCCAGACCCTGTGTATATTTCATGTGTAATAAACTTGTTAAAACCTCAGCTAATGTTGTGTATGTATGAAACAGGTGTGTGAAAACTGTCACAAGGCGCAGAATAAACAGTGTGAGGGATGACAGCCTCCAAATAGTCACAACCTACAACGTAGTTTGGCATAGACGAAGGAAGCTTGGGATTTTTGCGCTGTTAGGTGTGGAAATAAAGCTCCCCCACTAGTCAGACATTAAGGGTGGATGTCAAGTAATATGTCGAATATCTATCCTCGTTCTCTGAAATATTTCATTATTTTAAACTTTACTTTTCCTTTACCTATAAAAGCTGCACCATTTTGTGAATTACAGGTTAGCAGAGGCCAGATAGAGGATGGGGAAGAGATTTCTTAGAGATGTGGAGTGTAATTCTTGTACTAGAAACCCATTGTTCTAGCTTGGTGTATATTTAACCATTATTACAAGGGCTGAAATGCGGGGAGGGGAGATAAGCACTCGATACTGAGCAAAAACCATCTTCGAGAAGGAGGTGGCTGTACCTGCTGTCTGCTCTCTGATCAACAAACATTGCCATCTCTGCAAACTCAGGCTCTACAGAGCAAACCCACTACCTGTAGCTTAGTGTCCTTTTAACACAAACATACAAAACCACACACACACACCTGTGCACATCTCTACAGTGATTTATACAGACATATCTCAGAATTTCTGCTCATCTTTAATAAATAGTTAATATACTAAACATTTACTACCAGCTCCTACTCCACATCTACCTACAGAAGCACCGCTTATATTTGCATCTGGACAAACACCACACAAATGCGGTCTCACACACCACTATGGGCAAATCATTTGTCAAAGCCAAAATGATGTCGGCACACACTTTTAAAGTAACAACACAAAGGACAGAATCCACATACTTAAATACATCAGACTATCACTCCAACCCTGAGGCTGTGGTCCCACATCAGAAACACACATATCAATATCGATCTCTGCTATACCCGGTCTCACACAATCCTCCTTTCAAACCAGGCAAATCTGGTGCTACTTCTAAAGGGTATCAAACTACCCCTTACTTAGCTCTACCCTCGCTTGTAGATGGTAAAGGGATTAAAACACTAGACACTTTACTCCCAGATAGGACCCACACACACACCCCTACAAAAATTCCAATGCAATCAACTCACCCACTTTCTGCAACCGGGACACTATACACAAAAAGGCAACCATGCCATCACAGTTCGAAACCACATGCTCCACGCACGCCCTTAAAACAAAAACAGGTCTCTACCCTGTATCCTATATTTCAAAACACAACCACAGCAATTCACAAGGATGAGATTAGGCTGGGAAACTGATCTGAAGTGGACACTGTCAGACGGTGACTGATCCTCAAATTGATTCACAAATCTTCAATTAACCTTGCCACGCAAGAAGGAAATTATAAGAGGATAGTACGTTGTCTCTACACGCCATCCAAACTTTAAAAACTTCCCAAACTCCCAAGGCCAATACTGGAGATGCCACCAACAAAATTGTGACTCAAAAATTCTGATCTAGAATTTCCAGACTCATACACACCATTCTGGGAGTGCGCTTAACCTTCACACTAGGTGGCTTCCTCTTTCATCTGCTACCTCACACTCAAAAGAGAACCACACATTCCCTAATCAGACACCTACTAACTGCAGCAAACCAACTTATCCCTATAAATCCCCCATATATTAGAGAATACAAAAGGTTGAACAGTAGGATAATGGAGGAAATACATAATTCTCTCCAAAAACTACCAGATATAGACAAACAGCTGGGACCCATGGTGCAAGTTTCTAAAAAGTAGTCAAGTAGACACAACCAACCAAACCCCCAGCAAGCCCTCCTAAGAAGGAACTTTCCCCTCTACTTTTCTAGGTACAACTCCTGAGCCCAGACATTGTAAGGTCAACGGTTAAAGTATAAACCAGCTAGACCTAGCTAACCATATGACTTTTCTTCATGGATTTCCTATCATCCTCCTTCCCCAGTCTATCAACTGCTTTAGCCATTTGCGACGAAGTTCCCGTTCGCCACTTGTGCTTAGAGAGGACTAATGGCTAGGCTTTTGCCTTGTGACTATGGCCCCTGGGGTGTATTGCCTGTTAAAAACTCAATTTGTGCAGATTGGATTCTAAAACAGTGTCTGGCTATTTAAATCCTATGGGAAAGGATCTGCGCTTTTGAAGTGACACTTCGGATACAGCCGAAGTATCCGACAAACGAACATGTGGCGGCGGCCATTTTAATTCAGTCGTTCAGCGGTGTTTGGTTGTTGAGTTCATGGAACTGAAATCGGATATGCGACGGCACGAACACCGCTGAACTTCTACCTCCTCTGGAACTTCAACACTTCGAATGAAGTCGAACTGTGTTCGACACTACGAACACCATATTAACAGTGCTATTTGCACAAGCAGCCCGCGTTCATGCATTCCAACAGTATTTGAACTAAGGTGCATGGACCGGCCGCACAGCCCAAAATCCTTTTGGGCATGAAAATGTGCGTGTGGTCGGTCAAAATGGGACTTCCAACTATCTCCCAAACCACTGGACTAATTTGCATGATTTTTGGATATGTTTGTCCCCTGTAACTTGTATTGGGATTGAATGTATAATTTTGGAGTTATAAAAATTGTGTAAAAAGTATATTTTTCGCTTGGAGATAATTGAGCTGATACATCAATTAAATCAATTATCTCCCAAGCAGAGGGGAGGGATTTTACAGTAATGAATGGGAGTTTTTAACTGTGTGTCTGTAAATGATTGGTTGTTAAGTTTGTGTTTTCGGTGCCTAACAAAGTCCATGTGGGTGGTAACCTTGTGGGGAAAACTGTATAAAAGAAATGCCCCTTGCACTCAATAAATCAGATCTTCTTACCCTCAACTCGTAGCCTTGTCTCGTGTTGTAGGGAACAGCTATACAAGCTATATCACTGCTAGCTCTTGTAAGAGCTCTCTTCAGCTATACTCTCTTGGAGGAGAGACCCTTCCAACACGCTCCTGCATCCAGAGGTTGGAGTCCCAGGAAGGAGACGGCGAGATTCTAACCAAGGTACGGCAGTTCATGGAGTCTGTGCCACGAGGAACAATGCCGCCTCATGGTTGCTCGAACTTGCCTGTCCACTAATGTCTCAACTCCACCTATTTTGGATAACACTCCTGAATCTGACCTCCCCTTACCGCCCCCCTATTTCTCCTCCCGAGTTAGATCTGGTGCAGCTGGTGTTTCCACTCCCCCTGCTCTATTGTCCCTGCCTACCCACACACCTATCTCAGATACCAATTCTCTTGCTTTAAGCCCTCCTATTTCTTTGCCTACCCCCCACTAGTTCTTTGTATCCTCAAATGGCCCCCTTTTTAGTTACTGGTCAGGCTCCTCCCAGCCCTGTCCGAAATATTTTATTAACGAAATTTCCGACCAACATGATTAACTTACCTTCTTCTACCCTTCTGACAACTCCCCAACCAGAACCTGTTAAAACACATCACTCTATAAATGTTCGCAGTCCCATTTTAACACGTATAACGACTGGTCATGCCTCTCTGACTTACTCCTGGTTTAACACACATTGATGGCAATGGCCAGTTGCAATTGGGAGACCCTGTATTTATATACATTCCCTTTACTGCAACCAACTTATTTAATTGGAAAACCCATACACGGAAAAACCACAAGCTACTTATTTGGTCACATCAATCATACAAACCCACAACCCTACTTGGGCTCATTGTCAGCCGTTACTATTAACTTTATTCAGTTCCAAGGAAAGGACCCGTATTAGCCAAGCGCCCATTAAAGCTCTTGAGGAGACTGCCTGTACCCAAAACCAAGCAAATCCAGCGGCTTGGGATACTGCCTATTTCCCCAATACGGATCCTAATCTGAACACAAATGGTGCTGATATGGTTCATTTAAAAGTCTACCAACAAGCCATTATTACAGGCATGAAAGCAGGTGGGAAAAAGGCTATAAACATGTCAAGAACAGCTGAAATATTACAAAAAACTGATGAATCTCCCAGTGCCTTTTATGAGAGACTGCTTGAATCCTACAGACTTTATACCCCTTTGTTATCCCAAAGACCCTGAATTCTCGTATGATTACTTTGGCATTCGTCAGCCAGGCCCAGAGTGACATTAAAAGGAAACTGCAAAAGTTTGCGGGGATGTCCATAACACAGTTAATGGAAGTCGCAAACAGGGTTTACATGAATAGGGAAGCATGATGAAAAAGAAAGTGGATAAGTTAGCCGTAGCAATTACAGGAGTAGGCAGACGAGGGGAAGGTGAGATTAGGAATAATAGACTACCATTAGGTGGAAGTCAATGTGCGTATTGCAGAGAGGAAGGACATTGGAAAAATGACTGCCCACAGAGGGAATATAAAGCAAGTTTTAGACAAGAGGAAGTCTTGGAGGGAGTGACAGTAGTAACAGAGGAGACGTCCAGGAAGGTACATACTATCCCCCTAATCAGAGACCAAGGGATAGGGACAATAGGGACTTTGTGGGTCTGGCTGATACAGTCATGGAGGACTATTGATACAGACCGGGCTCCATTCTCTTTGGCAGTGCGGAGCCTATGGTCAAAGTAACAATAGGGAAAAAGAAAAGTCCTTTCATGATTGGTTCGGGTGCTGAACACTCTGTTACTGTAATAGGAGCTACTGGGAAAGGAGCTATTAGACTGGTTCTCAGGAATCATACTTGCATACTAGGGGGCCATCTTGTTCGGCATCAGTTCCTATATATGCCGGAGTGTCCAATTCAACTTCTAGGATGAGATCTATTGTCAAAGCTTCCAACACAGATAACATTTCTACCCAATGGATCAACGCCCCTGCAGTTCAATAAATCACTAGGCATGTGTGACGAGACCAATCTCGCCACTGTGCATTGGAGGAGCCTGGTTGCCTGCCTGCTGCCTTTTGACTATGGACCAGCAAGCGGTGGGATCAGCTGTGTCTCTGGAAGGGGAAGATCTTCTAAATGGCAGTTTAACCCATTTTATGCCTGGGGGTGCCGTTACAATTGGTGGCAAGTGGCGGGATCGTTCAGCGATCCTTTCATGTGAACATACTGAAGGAGTATCAGGAGAGACCAGAGGATGTTGCGGCAGTATGTGCCCCGGCTGCCAACGACCCAGAGAATTTACCCTTACCCGACTTATTAGAGAAGGATCCCCAGACTGACCTTACTAGTCTTGTGCAGCTAGGGGACCGGTTAAGCCCCGCGGAGAAGGTACAGGCAAGACAGCTTCTGTGGGAGATGCAGGCGACGTTCTCCCAGGAACCCGAGTACACTACCCTAGCTGTGCACAAGGTCGAGACACCCGGACAGAATCCCCTACGACAACCCCCCTACCGTATCCTTGAAGCAGTTCGAGAAGGAATGCGGAAGGAGATCCAGGAGATGACCAGGCTTGGTGTCATCGAGCACTCAGACAGCCCTTGGGCCTCCCCTGTAGTCCTGGTGCCTAAGAAAGATGGTTCTGTGTGGACTACAGGCGACTCAAGGAGCAGACCACCACTGACGCCTACCCGATGCCCCGGGTAGACGAATTATTAGACCGCATTGCCAGGGGGCGCTACCTGACTACCATCGACCTGTGTAAAGGTTATTGGCAGATTCCCCTGGCCGAGGATGCTATCCATAAGTCGGCATTTGTCACCCCATTTGGTCTGTACCAGTTTAAGGTCATGCCATTTGGGATGAAGAATGCTCCGGCTACCTTCCAGCGCATGGTGGATAGGCTCCTCGATGGCTTCCAGGAATTTGCGTGTGCATACCTGGACGACATTGCGGTCTACAGTGAGTCCTGGGAAGAACACTTGGTACACATAGGGGTGGTACTGGACAAGATTCGGGCCGCGGGCCTGACCTTGAAACCAGACAAGTGCCATCTAGGCATGGCAGAAGTGCAGTACTTGGGTCACAGGGTAGGATGTGGGAGCCAGAGACCAGAACCAGCCAAGGTGGAAGCGCCAGTACACCTATCACCAAGACCCAAGTACTGGCCTTCCTGGGGACGCCAGGGTATTACCGACGTTTTGTCCCCGACTACAGTACTGTCGCCAAGCCCTTGACTGACCTGACTAAGAAGAATTTACCTAAGCAGGTCCTGTGGTCTCCAGCTTGTGAAGCCGCGTTTCAGGCCCTGAAGCAAGCTCTTGTAAATGCCCCTGTCCTGGCTGCCCCAGTCTCTAACAAACGTTTTCTCGTTCATACAGATGCTTCCATGTATGGACTGGGGGCTGTGCTGAGCCAGGTCGGGGAAGATGGAGGAGAACACCCTGTCGCATATCTCAGCAGAAAGTTACTACCTCGGGAAGTGAGCTATGCGGCAGTGGAGAAAGAGTGTTTAGCCCTGGTCTGGGCATTGAAGAAGCTGAGCCCTTATTTATACGGACAAGAATTTTCCCTTATCACGGACCACAATCCCCTTGTCTGGCTTAACCGGGTCTCAGGAGACAATGGCAGACTGCTGAGGTGGAGTTTGGCACTACAGCCTTACAACTTCACTATCAGCTACCGACCCGGTAAGCAGAATGGGAATGCGGATGGGTTGTCCCGGCAAACAGACGTCCCTACTTCTTCCTAGTCCGGTCATCCCCAAGTTGACCCGCCAAAGGGTCAAGCCGGGTCTGCCGGAGTGTTCCACAAGGGGGGAGCCGTGTGACAGACCCATCCATATGGACTAAGGTTGCTGGATTCATCTGTTTGCTTGTTTCACGAACTCACCCATTCTTATGCCTGGATCTAAGTGAATTGACTTTTCTACCGAACAAAACTGTCGAACAGACGGCCACCCAGAAGAGAAGTGTGCTGCTGGTTAACCTATTGATCCCAATTAGAACGTTGCGGTTAACCACAGACACTTCTCAATTAAAACCGAATACAGGGTGGTCGTCGTTCGTATGCCAACCACGAGGCGGCGGCCATTTTAAACCATGCGAAAGACCAGCGGTGTTCGGTACTAAATTCATGGAACTGAAAACGGACACTTTTTCAACCGAATACCGCTGATGCCGTCGACCTCCCTTCTCAATCGACAGAAGTGTGCGAAGACCAGCCGTTCGGGAGATTTAAAGGCACGAATGGACTTACCCCAGATAGCCTTCCCATGGAGTCAATCGCATACCGAAGAACTGTAATAGACTTTGACTCCATGGCGATTGAACTATGCGTATGGGATCTGGGGATGTGTTACACGAATGAGAAATGTTCGGCAGTTATAAAGTTATGTATTTTTATGTGTTTTATGATTTGTATTTAAAATGGCGATTTGCCTCTGCTCTGGGAGATAATTGAATTACTTCTCAATTATCTCCTGGGCAGAGGGGAGGAAACTGTGATGTATGCTGGGAATATTATGTGATTGTATGTCCTGAGATGCCATATGTCCATCTGCTATTCCAGTCTCCCATTTGGTCCCCTAGGGGAGTGTCCACCAAGTGGGAGACCTGCATAAATACGGGCGGGTAGCCTACAGTAAACTCAGTTCGTGTTTTACCCTCAATGCGGAGCTTGGTTTCGTTATTGGGGGGATTTTATTACCAGCAACTAGAGACTGCTATATGGAATTATTAGCCACTTGGGAGATACCGGCGTTCGGCTGATATTGACGGTTCGTGAGCTTGAAGCTCGTGGAGGGAAGTGACCGTACGGAGTATTCCCTTACTTGCGGTTCGCAGGATTGTATTGGATACGCATAAAGCCAAATTATTGCGAACGGGGAGCATTCACTAAACGGCGGTTTGTACATTTCACGCTGAAGGTACCGTAACAGTACTATTGGGTAATATAAAAGAAACAAATTGAAACCAATGTGGCTTAATAGAGAAGTAAAACAAGAGATTAAACATAAGAAAAGGGTGGGGGGTTGGGCCAGACCGCGGACCGGAGCAGACGCAAGCTGCAGCAGCTCCTGCATCTTACCGCTAATTCAACCAAATTTTCATGGAGCAAAGCCTGCAAACCGGCACAATCTAACCTACTCATGAATGGGGACTTTCTGCCCTCCAAGCTGATACCACACATGTGGACTTCTTTGCCGGCTCCGAGCAGACAAACCTCGCGGCCTAGCAGCATGGTCGGCCTGGGTGAGACGGCCGCTCTCCCGCCACCACAACGCACTACAGACTCCGGATTGGGCTCCTGTTCCCCTCATATGGACTGCAGGGGTTATCCCGGTCCCCACCGACCCGGCACTCACAATGTCACAGGCTCCTACTGCCTGCTGCGATGTGGGCTCCGACTACACTGGGCCCTACAAAATGGCAGACACTAATCGTTCACCAAGGCCTGTGCCCATGCAGTCTTTGCTAACATGGCTGGACTCAATACTCACCCAATTTTGGGAGATGCTGGAGGAGCGCTCCATTGCTCAACTACTTCCAGCCCAAGACAAGAAAGGAGAGGGACTGGAGACAATGAGGCGGAATGGGCCTGTCTTGGGCACAGCACTTTGCCCAGCTTATGTTCCACATGTTAAAAGCCCACCTGGGCTGAGGGTCATCCGGAGTCCCCCTCCGTGGCATTACCCGAATCGCTAGAGGGCCGCCCGCAGCAGGCGGTGTAAGAAGAACGAGGCCTTCACTTGCGGCCGTACAGGGAGAGACCTGGTCCTACGGAGTTCCCGGGTCTGCCGGAAACAAATGCCGACCTCATATCAGGCCTGGGGCTTGGGAGAGGCCCCTTTCTGCCCTCAGCTTACCATCACTCTCCGAGACCTTCAAGCATCAGCTTCCTGCTTGCCAAGCACGGGGATCGGATGACAGCATGGTCGGAGGACAGGGTCCGGTCTGCCATTCAGTTCTAAATGGCAAATTACTCCACTCAGGCTGACTTTGACTCATTGCTCTCCTTAGCACTCCATCCCCATTACGTCTCTCTAGTCCGCCTATTTTATTTCACCCATATTGCATGACACCATTATCACTTTACTAATAGCACAGACTGCCAGCGACCATAATACCTTCAAAGAGAGCTATGCCCCAAGTTGCATTAATTTTACTGCCGAACTAACTATGCCCCTATGGTAACCTTGGATAGGAGACATGACACACTACATTGCGCGCTTGCCGATCAGGTGGTTCTAAGCACCGCTATATGGGCCCACTCATGTCTTAACTTTACTAACTTCTGCATAGATACGCAGTATCTCTTGGTATACTACTACACACATAGTTTACTCAATGTATCTTTTATTTAGCACGTTTCATGTACCATGCCTGTCTCATGATTTGATGTATGACGACTTTAGCGGGTTAACTCGTACATAGGTAATCAACTACCTACTCAGTCTATCAGTATGTCGAATCGTACAAGCTTGTTTAACTCTTAACATGTTTCATGTTCTCATTATATAAAAAACGTGCAATGTTTTTTGATGCCATACTAATGTTAACGTATGTCTACATATTTGCTTGCACCAGCTATTGTGGCAGTGCAAATCTTGTTGTTCACCCTATGCACAAATAAAATAAAGAATTGAAAAAAAAATAAAATGAGAAAAGGGCAATTAAAGCGGAGAAATCAGATGCATCCTAAAAAAGATATAAGGAAGCCAATAATGTGCGCAAAAAGGCGATTAGCTAAACTTCAAAATGAAAAAAAAAAATCATAACCAAAGAGAGAAAAACCAACCCCAAAGCATTAAGTACATACATTCTAAAAAAACAAAAAATGAAAGTGTAGGTACACTAAAAACTGAAATGGGGGTGTTAGTTAATGAAGACCAGGAAAAGGCAGGAATTTTAAATAACTATTTCTCCTCTGTATATATTAAGGAAGAACCCATGGCAATAGATGTGCAGATGATTGCTGCTAGAAATTTTCGAATAATTGTGATTAGTTAACTCAAGGTGCTGCAGCAACTAAAGAAAATTGATAGAAACAAAGCTCCAGGGCATAATGGTATTCATCCACAAGTACTTAAGTAACTAAGTGTAGAAATGAGTGAACCTCTGGGTTTTTTTTTTCAATTTGACAATTGTTATTTGTTTTTGGGGTACAAAAGGAAAGAATGGTGGGGAGGATGACATGTCCATTTTACATGTTTTCTGTCCTAATTGTAACAATGCTCAGAGCATCCTATTCGACCTGTTTTCATTTTCTATTCTAGCTGGGATCCAATGGCTCCAAAGTCTTCCGGAGACCTTTTCCCTTTTGGTCTGTTGTTTGGTTTTTGTGATCCCTCCTTCCTTTCCCCGTGTTCGTGGACATGCATAGAGGTGCACCTCTGTTCGTGTCAGTAAAACTAAAAACTTTGTACATGTGGGTGAACAAGCCCGGTGCGGGCGACTGTCTCCTCTTTCTCTAACTTTTGTAGTGCCCTTTCCCTGTGGATGGGATTCTTTTTATATTGTCCCGAGAACTAGTCCTTTTTTTTTCCTTTCTCCTTTCTCTCCCCCTCTCCTACTCCTACCCCCTTCCACTCCCATCGCTGTTACCCACTTTGTGTGTTCAGTCCCCTTTTGTAATCCAGGTTCATGGTTATTTGATGAAGTAGGGTCTCCCTAGTGGGTGCTTGCGTTTGTTTCCACGCCCTCGCTATGAGAGTGTTGGCTGCTTCTAAAATATGGAATAGTAACCGTGAGTTTGTTGTATTGTGTTCTTCTAAACCCATGAACAAGAGTCCACACTCCGGTGTTATCGTGACCTCTCTACCTAGTGCCTTTGTCGCTATTTCCTCCACCTCCCCCCAGTATTTGGTTATGCTTGGACACTTCCACCATATGTGGTAGATCGATCCCTTCTCTTCTCTGCATCTCCAGCATATGTTGGAAGTGTTTGGGTAAATTTTTGCCAACCTCTCAGGCACCATGTACCAGCGGTACAGTAGTTTGCGCATCTGCTCAAAGTGGGACGCGCAATTTGTCCTCTTTTTGTGTGCCAAAAATGCTTTTCCCCATTGTTCTTCGGTATAGGTTTTCCCTATGTCTGTTTGCCATGCCGTTCTAAATTTGTCTAGGGTATTTGCAGACTGCTGGATTAACAAGTTGTATAAGGTGGACAATAGTCTCCTGGGCTGTTTTGTGGTAGTGCGTATCTGCGTTGTAGGTCTGGGAAGTCGGCTTGCTTTTCTTTGTCATACAACTGACTGAGTTTTGTGCATCCCTGTTTTATCCACGGGCGGTAATCAAAGGTGGGGTTTTCTAAATGCAGACTGTACAAGGGGGTCGCTCGCGCCAACTTTGTGGTGTCTCCCCATTGTGACCTGAAAGTGTCCCATATCTTAAATAAGAGTTGTGTGGTGGGTGGCACGTTTTGGTGCACCTTCCTGTGTGTATGGGGTATCCAGAATAGATAACTCAGGCCCCTGGGGCATGCCCAGGAAGCCTCCATGTCCACCCACTGTGGCACCTCTTCCTTTGGGGCCTGTATGACTGTGGTCAGGATAGCCGCTTTGTAATATTGTTTAATGTCTGGCATCCGCAAGCCCCCTTGCGCCTGCGGTTTGCTCAGTACTTTAACTGGCACCCTGGCTTTTTGGTGTGCCCATATGAAGCCCGTTATGAGTTTCTGCAATTTATCTAGGTATGGTTTTGGTACGTGGATTTGTAGGGTTCTTATCAAGTATTGAAATTTTGGTAACACTATCATTTTGACTGCGGCCATCCTACCTAGCCATGACAGGAACTTCCCCTCCCACCCCTTCAGGGTATTCGCTATACTCTTCAGCAGTGGGTCGTAGTTTGCCGCCAGTAAGTCTGTCGGGTTTTTTGTGAGTTTGATCCCTAGGAAAGTTTGATCCCTAGGTCCCGCCTCCAGTCTAGCGTGAAAGATTTTTGTAGGAGCTCCAACTTGTTGTTTGTAATTCCCACTCCCATGGCTTGTGTCTTTGTGATGTTTAGCTTGTAGTAGGAATGTTTTCCGTATGTGGTAATTTCCTGTAGCAGGTTGGGGAGAGAGATTTGAGGTTGGGTAAGTGTCAGTAGAATGTCATCCACAAATAGATTGGTCGTGCATTCCCTGTCTCTGATCGTGATGCTGTGTATGTTTGGGTTGTCTCTTATTCTTGCCACCAGGGGTTCCAGGGCCAATACATATAGCTGGGGCGATAAGGGACATCCCTGCCTAGTGCCGTTCGTTAGTTTTATGGGCTCTGAGAGGAACCCTGAGTTGAGCACCTGGGCCCCAGGGGAGCTATACAGCGCCTCTACCATCGACGCAAACCCCAGTTCAGGCGATCAAAGGCCTTCTCTGCATCCAAGAAGACCAGTAGCCCCCCTTGTTCCTTTCTGTGGAGATGGTGCAAGATATTGAGCACTTTTCTCGTATTGTCAGACCCTTGCCTTCCTTTGATGAAGCCCACTTGGTCGTTATGTATAATAGTTGGCAAGATTACCCCCAGTCGGAGCGCATATACCTTTGCCACATTCTTGGCATCGGTATTTAGTAGGGATATTGGCCGGAAGTTCTGTGGCATTGTCGGCGATTTACCTGGTTTGGGTAGCGTTACTATATGCGCCTGTAACATTTCAGTGGGTAGGGTTTTGTGCTCAATGGCCTGTGTATAGCTATTGACTATGTAGGGTGCCAGGATGGTGCCAAACTTTTTATAGTACATGTTGTCTAGCCCATCAGGTCCCGGGGATTTGCCCAATGGCGGAAACTTTATCACCCCTATTTATTATTATTATTTCCTCTGTGCTTATTGGTTTTGTGAGTTCCTGCTGTTGACTGCGTGTGAGACACGGCAATTTTAGGTCACGTAATATGTTTGTATATCTTGCTCTATTGGTTGTGGGTTTGTGGGGTCTAGTTTTAGGTTGTATAGTTTGGTGTAATAGCGCGCAAATTCATCACTTATGGCTTTTGGGGTATTTAATTTTTGTCCTGTGTTGGAGGAGAGGTAGGCTATCTTTTGGGAGGCTTGTTGGGCTCTAAGGTTTTGCGCTAGTAGTTTGTTGGCCTTGGGTGTATTGATGGTGTTTCAGGCGTTGCAGGATGCACTCTGTGTGGTCTAGGGCATGTTTATTGAGAGTTCTGGTTATTTGGAGTATGCGCTGTCTTTTGTCGTCGGTAGGGGAGAGTTGGTTTTGGCGGTTTATGTCATATAGTTCTTTACGTAAGTCGAGAGTAAGATTTTGTGCTTGTTTGCGGAGGAATGATGCTCGCCGTATCAACAGTCCTCTCACCACTGGTTTATGGGCCATCCAGACAGTTGTGGATGAGATGTCTGGCGTCTCATTTTCCACAAAATACTGTTTCAGTTGGGTGGATAAATCGGTCACGAACTGTGGGTTATGGAGAAGGGAGTTATTAATTCTCCAGGGGCTACGGTGTTTGAAATCATATAGATCTTTCATTTCCAGGAGTACTGGGGCGTGACCTGACCATGTGATTTGTGCTGTGTCACAGGTCATAATCTGGTTGAGGTGGGGGCCCGATATGAGGAACCCATCTATTCTGGAATATGAGTTGTGGACGTGTGAGGAGTGTGTGTATGCTTTTTCCGAGGGGTGTGTGATTCTCCATGTGTCATAGTAGTGGTAATTGTGTAAAAGGGTCTGGAGGGCTTTACTTTGGCGCCTAAGGGTCCTGTATCTACGGCTGGATCTGTGAATGGTCGTGTCCATATTTTGGTCAAAAATGTGATTAAAGTCTCCGCAGATCACTGTTATTCCTTGTCTTATTGATGTCAAGGTTTTACATATTTTGTGCAAGAAGTTCCTCTGGTTTTGGTTTGGCGCATATATGCTTGCGATTGTATATTCCATGTCATTAAGAGTTCCCACTATCACTACATATCTGCCCAAGGGGTCTATGTGTTGCGATTTTAGGGAGAAGGATACATGTTTGCTTATCAATATAGAGGTGCCTTTGGACTTCGTCGGGGAGGTGGAATGAAACTGATATGGGTATTCCATAGCTAATACCTTTGGGTGATCATTTGTGCGGAAGTGGGTCTCCTGCAGGCAGACCATGTCTGCGCTTGTGTCTGTAGTTCTCGAGTTAGTAAATGTCTTTTTGCCGGGATATTCAGTCCCCTTACATTATGTTTGTATATTTTCATGTAGGGTCTAGCATGATTGGTTGTGCTGAGTAATGTGAGTGTCTGTTTGTCGCGGGGTGGCCCAATCCTCCCAGTGCTATCAAGCAGAGTAGGTCCGCCCCTTGGGTCTCTGTGGTGATTCCACAGGTACTTTGGCGTAAGTTAGAGCTTATGTTTTCCCATTTACCATTGAAGGCATGTGGTTTGTCAGTGCTGTAAGTGGGGCCGCCCACCCGGTCCCTAGCATAGTCCTCAGCGTCTTGGGCAACTGGCCACGTTCCGCTGAGTACGACAGCATAAAAACATAACCAAACAATAAAGAAAGTATATACAATATTAAACTTTGCCCTGCTTATAGCTGGGCACTTCATTCAAGTGCCTGGGGGGTAGAAGCTCTCTGCTACTAAGCCTGGGACAGCGTACGTTTTGCGTAGGCCTTTTTAGCTGTGGCAAACTTTTTGGTTACTTTTTTTTTTTTTTTTGCATTTAACCAGTGTTTCAATTGGGTTACCGCGATTGGCTACCGGGGTACGTTGCAGTGCGTCTCTCTGGGATCCCAATCCCTTCAAAGCCTGATTCCCCCCTTAGATTCCTGGTCAATTCTAGCTACCCCAAGGGCAGTATCCAACTCCAGTTTCCCCTACTAACAGTCAGGGTTGTAACTGTGTTTGGACAATGGAACAAACATAGCATTTACATTGGTTGTAACCATACAAAAATACTTGCGGCACGTCTCAAAGTGATCTATTAATTCTTCTCCGACATCATGTCCATATAGTCTATGAATGCTTGGCTCTCTTCCAATCTGGAACTAGTCTTTTCGGTTCCTTTGGCTTGTTGTTCTGGGATTCAGAACCATGCCCCATTCATTCAATAAGCGGGTGCCTTCCTCCGGAGTGGAGATTATTATGGTTTTGCCGGCCTTCTGCACCAGCAATTTGAGTGGATACCCCCAGCGATACACGATCCGCTGCTCCCTGAGTGCTGCAGTAATATCATGAAACTCTCTTCTCTTCTTCAGCGTAAATGCTGAGATGTCTGCAAACAGCACAATGTTTCGATAGCGCTCCGGCAGGTCTTTGCGAGTTCTGCTGCTCTTCAATATGGCCTCCTTGGTGTGGTAATAGTGCATGCGCACCAAGATATCCCTGGGTGCATCCGATGGGAGGAATTTGGGCTTTGCCGTCCTGTGTATATGATCAAAGAGGAGCATGTCTTGCGGCATGTCGGGCACCAGGGCTCTCAGATACTCTGTGACATGTGCTGTTAAGTCATTAATGCCCACAGCCTCTGTCACTCCTCTCAACCGCAGATTGTTTCGGCGACTTCTATCCTCCATGTCTGCCTGTTTTACCTCTTGTGCTGTGATGCGCTCCACCATTCGCGCTAGCTTATCCTCCATTTCGTTGTATGCCTCCTCAGCGCTGGCCATTTTTTCTTCGAGCCGAGCGGTTCTGGATCCGAGATCTCCCAGGTCTCTGCGCAGGTCTCCTATTGAGGTCTGTACACTTTTTATAATCTTAGCAGACATCGCGTCCAGCATACCTTGCATTATTTCTTGGGTTAGAGGTCCCTGATCGGTACTCGCGCAGGGAGCTGTCTCATGGGCGTCGTCTGCGCCATCTTGGCTTCCCTCTGCCTGGGAGGGTTCTTTGAGCGCACTCTGTTTTGGAGCGAAAAATTGTGCTTCTCCGTCTGTCTTTTCGGTTTGGCGTAAGACATGGCAGCAAGTTAGGTTGGTGTTTGCCAATTGTTTGTGGGGCAATTGCTCACTTTAGGCCTTTTGGTGCGGAGCTGCTGTTACATGCGACTACTCCCGCTGAAGTCCAGGCCACGTCCCGTGAACCTCTGTTTTGAATCTTTCAAGATTCTTTTCTTTCAGGAAGTGTTCCGGAGGGTTGGAGGAAGGCAGATGTGGTTCCTATATTCAAAAAGGGTTCAAAATCCTTGCCTGGAAATTATAGACCTGTGAGCTTAACTTCTGTGGCTGGTAAAATATTTGAAAGGTTATTAAGGGATAATATTCAAGAATTCCTTGAGAAGAATATGGTTATCAGCAGAAAATAGCATGGTTTTATGAAGCACAGGTCATGTCAAACTAACTTGATTGCGTTCTACGAAGAAGTAAGAAAGATAGATCAGGGTGTTGTCGTGGATGTGATCTATTTGTATTTTGCCAAGGCATTTGATACAGTTCCACACAATAGATTACTGTCAGACTCAAGGAAATCGGTCTAGATGAAAATGCTTGTTCTTGGGTAGAACATTGGCTTAAAAACAAGTACAAAGAGTTGTCATTAATGGTAAATTTTCAGCTGGACAGAGGTGGCGAGTGGTGTCCCTCAGGGGTCTGTTCTGGGACCCCTTCTATTTAACATATTTATAAATGATCTTGAAGACCGCATTGAAAGTCATGTTTCAGTGTTTGCAGATGACACCAAACTTTGTAAAACAATACAATGTGAGCAAGATATTACTTTGCTGCATAGGGATTTAGATAGACTGGGGGACTGGGCACTTAAATGGCAGATGAAATTTAATGTTGAAAAATGCAAAGTTACGCACTTTGGCATAAGGAATACACAAGCAGCATATACCCTTAAAGGATCACTATAGGGTCAGGAACACAAACATGTGTTAACACCACCATCTAGCCCCCTTGGGCCCCTCATGCCTTCATACATATAGTAAAAAGCTTACTGTATTCAAACCTGAAGCTGTAAATCTGCATGCTGTTTGACTCAGAAAAACAAGCAGTCTGCTGACATGTGGTAGCCTGATCCAATCACAGTGCTTCCCCATAGGATTGGTGGAGACTGACAAAGAGGCAGATCAGGGGCAGAGCCAGCATGATTCAAACACAGCCCTGGCCAATCAGCATCTCCTCATAGAGATGAATTGAATCAATTAATCTCAATGAGGAAAGTTCAGTGTCTGCATGCAGAGGGAGGAGATACTGAATCACAGGATGCTGTGCACAGTGCTGCCCTGTGCTCTGCTGACAGCAGATCTGTGTGGATGGAGGCATATTATGCCTCCATCATCTCCGAAGTCCCTCTGGTTCACTCTGCGTGACTGCAACTGGAGGTGTTCCTAGCTTTCAATGTAAATACTGTATTTTCTCAGAAAATACAGTGTTTACATAAGAAAGGCTGCAGGGAGCTATAGTTCTCAGCTGAAGTTGTTCAGGTGACTATAGTGTACCTTTAATGGAAGCGAATTAGGGATAACAACACACGAAAAGGACTTGGGAATTGTTATAGACAACAAACTATGCAACAATGTGCAATGTCAATCAGCAGTGGCCAAGGCCAGTAAGGTATTGTCATGCATGAAAAAGGGCATTCATTCTCGGGACGAGAATATAATTTGGCCTCTTTATAAATCACTGGTAAGATCACATATTGAATATACTGTGCAATTTTGGGCACCTGTTCTAAAGAAGGATATTATGGCACTAGAAAAAGTGCAGAGGCGGGCTACAAAATTTATAAAAGGAATGGAACATATCCGCTATGAAGAAAGGTTAACAAATTTACACCTATTTAGTTTAGAAAAACGTTGCCTGAGAGAGGATATGATATCATTATACAAATTCATTCGGGGCCAATACAAATCATTGTGTGGAAATCTATTCACAAACCGGACTTTACATAGGACACGAGGTCTTGAGTTTAGACTGGAAGAAAGAAGATTTCGTCCATGGCAAAGGAAAGGTTTTTTTTTTTTACTGTAAGAACAATAGGGATGTGGAATTCTCTGCCTGAAGAAGTGGTTTTATCAGAGTCCATACAGATGTTCAAACTGCAACTAGATGCATACTTGCAAAAACAGAATATTCGAGGATATAATTTTTCAATGTAGGGTAATAGCTGCTTGATCCAAGAATAATTGGAAGTACTTCAAATTGGGTTTGTTTGCCTTCTTTTGGATCAACAGCAAAATACAAATATGAGGATGGCTGAACTTGATGAACGCAAGTCTCTTTTCAGCTATATAACTATGTAATTAAACTGCTAATAGCTCCCGACTGATTCCTCTCTTGCAACTGTAATTAGTCTAATACTATCCTTAGCTTTTGTGTCACTACCCCACTCGCTCTAGCATGTAAGCTCATTGAGCATGGCCCTCAACCCCTCTGTTCCTGTGTGTCCAACTTGTCTGGTTACAACTACGTGTCTGTTCGTCCACCCACTGTAAAGCGATACGGAATTTGTTGGAGCTATATAAATAACATAATAATAGAGGAAGTGGGGTATAGTGACACAGTGACAGAGGGATTGAGGGCCCTGCTCAGTGAGGTTACATGTTAGAGGGAGTGGGGTATAGTGACACAGTAACAGAGGGATTGAGGGCCCTGCTCAGTGAGTTTACATGTTAGAGGGAGTGGGGTATAGTGACACAGTAACAGAGGGATTGAGGCCCTGCTCAGTGAGTTTACATGTTAGAGGGAGTGGGGTATAGTGACACAGTAACAGAGGGATTGAGGGCCCTGCTCAGTGAGTTTACATGTTAGAGGGAGTGGGGTATAGTGACACAGTAACAGAGGGATTGAGGGCCTGCTCAGTGAGTTTACATGTTAGAGGGAGTGGGGTATAGTGACACAGTAACAGAGGGATTGAGGGCCTGCTCAGTGAGTTTACATGTTAGAGGGAGTGGGGTATAGTGACACAGTAACAGAGGGATTGAGGGTCCTGCTCAGTGAGTTTACATGTTAGAGGGAGTGGGGTATAGTGACACAGTAACAGAGGGATTGAGGGCCCTGCTCAGTGAGTTTACATGTTAGAGGGAGTGGGGTATAGTGACACAGTAACAGAGGGATTGAGGGCCCTGCTCAGTGAGTTTACATGTTAGAGGGAGTGGGGTATAGTGACACAGTAACAGAGGGATTGAGGGCCCTGCTCAGTGAGTTTACATGTTAGAGGGAGTGGGGTATAGTGACACAGTAACAGAGGGATTGAGGGCCCTGCTCAGTGAGTTTACATGTTAGAGGGAGTGGGGTATAGTGACACAGTAACAGAGGGATTGAGGGCCTGCTCAGTGAGTTTACATGTTAGAGGGAGTGGGGTATAGTGACACAGTGACAGAGGGATTGAGGACCCTGCACAGTGAGCTTACATGTTAGAGGGAGTGGGGTATAGTGACACAGTAACAGAGGGGATAAGGGCTGCTCAGTGAGCTTACATGTTAGAGGGAGTGGGGTATAGTGACACAGTAACAGAGGGATTGAGGCCCTGCTCAGTGAGTTTACATGTTAGAGGGAGTGGGGTATAGTGACACAGTAACAGAGGGATTGAGGGCCCTGCTCAGTGAGTTTACATGTTAGAGGGAGTGGGGTATAGTGACACAGTAACAGAGGGATTGAGGGTCCTGCTCAGTGAGTTTACATGCTAGAGGGAGTGGGGTATAGTGACACAGTAACAGAGGGATTGAGGGCCTGCTCAGTGAGTTTACATGTTAGAGGGAGTGGGGTATAGTGACACAGTAACAGAGGGATTGAGGGCCTGCTCAGTGAGTTTACATGTTAGAGGGAGTGGGGTATAGTGACACAGTGACAGAGGGATTGAGGACCCTGCACAGTGAGCTTACATGTTAGAGGGAGTGGGGTATAGTGACACAGTAACAGAGGGGATAAGGGGCTGCTCAGTGAGCTTACATGTTAGAGGGAGTGGGGTATAGTGACAGTTACAGAGAGATTGAGGCCCTGCTCAGTGAGTTTACATGTTAGAGGGAGTGGGGTATAGTGACAGTAACAGAGGGATCGAGGGCCTGCTCAGTGAGTTTACATGTTAGAGGGAATTTTACTCTGACTTTCTAACCAACACCCCTTTTCTCTATCACTCACGCACCTCCATACAACCAATCAAGTTTCTGGGACTACCTACTCAGCTGATGAGCATACCTACATAACTGGTAATTATGCTGGTTTTATTTAATTAATTTAAATTAATTAAAATGTACTAATAGCATGATATATGACTGGATAAATCACGGTCAGATTTCAATATTTAGAAATCTTAGTTAACTAAAGAATATATAGTTATAAACATTCCATTCTGCAGGTGGAATTAAGAATAATTATATATTAATGTGATATTATCACGTGTTAGCATACCGCTGTTTTTATCCAGGTGTATTGATTTGCTCTAAAATAAGATAAGATATCTTTTTAGGCAATTTAAAATTCGGTTTATAAAATCTGGTAGATTATTCTTATTGGATGGTTCCAGAAAATGATTAATGAGCTGGTTTGAATGTTATTTTAATTGAAAATCACATGAGAATAGGATACTATGTGCCTAAGAGGATCTAGCCAGCATTGAAAGGGTTACTCAGTTGATCTGTTAGCCAAGGTTTTATGGCTTTTTGCTGTGTGAAGCTTTACTTTTTGTCTGCGAAATACCTTATTAATCTTGTCTTGACCGTTGATGCTGTTAGCCATTGGAACGTGTATAGCCGTTCCATTGTATTGCATACTTATGTTATACTAAATATTCACTGATTATCATGCATGCTGCCTAATATTGTTATTTTATTTGTCACAATAAATTAAATCTATTTTTATAACAAATTGTGATTTTTATTTGTATGGAATACATTTCACTTACATGATAAACGATCTCTAAGATCTAAGAGAATTGAAATAGTGGGCAATTCTCGACTGTCTAATATTATCATCCCATAAATATCCCCACAGCGTGCAGCTGAAGAAATCACATTGACAACAAAATTCAGTTAAATGAAAGCTTCAAGTGTTTACTTGGGGGCGGCAAGCCCCTTATAAAGGCATCAGAATGCAGGAGTGTACAATATACGGAATGCACATTTTATTGGTAATTGCTTAAGTGTTTTATCTTGATGGACTTCCTACAGGGTGTGAGGTCATCATCATCCTGGGTGCAGCTCCGGAAGGAGATGTCATCTTTCTACATGAGGTTTCTTGGTCGATGGGAGCAGTGGCCTGGCGGCCATTTTCAGTAGTGAATGGGCACAGGGGCACATAGAAATTAATATTAGTAAAATGTATATTTACTATCTATCACAGTCCACTCTTAAAATGACTATTTACATTTATTTCTAGCAGCTATATCTGTCCCTAATATCTGTCCCAATGGCCACGGAACTCTTTTCGTGCTGTGCACCCTCCCCCTCGCTACAGACTGTACCTAGAGGAAAGTCATATGCTGACCCTACTGTCCCTAAAATACTGTAGACTTGTAACTGGCGGGGAGGGACTGCAACAGAGTGAAGGGTTTATCATAATCCTCATCATCTCTTTCTTGATGAACGAAGGTTGGTGTTTTCTGGAGGCATTTTCTAATACAGGGGAGAATACAACAGACAATAAAGGCAAGGATAATCAAAATCACCAAGACTTCTACACCTATTTGGGTCAGAACTTTCTGCCAACCATTCATCCATCCAAACCATCTTTCCCACGGGTCAGTGATCCCAGAGTTCTTTTTCAATTATTCTGAGACTCTCTAATTTCTCTATTGCCAGGGTCACTTTACCATTAGGGCCTGTGTTATCTGGGATGAAGGTGCAACATGTCATAGTGTTTGGGAGCATTTTACACACTCCCCCCTTTTCTGCTAGGATCATGTCTAGGGCCATCCTATTCTGGAAGGTCATCTGGGATGTGGCCTGTAGTTGGTCAGCTAGCCCTTGAAGGGCATCTCTTGTATAATTTACGAACCGTTGCTGGTTATAATATATGTAATTAATCTAATTCACGTTCTTATTGGCAGTGATGATAGGGAAAATGGATTCAAACCCTGCAGCAACTTCGTCCCTTGCCTTAAATTCATCTGGTACTCCCCTTGGTATATATATATAGGTTGAAACCTTTTACAGGGGCGTTTCTCCTTGTTCGAATATGTGTGTGTTTCTTATCAAGTGTGTTCTGGGGATCGTCTGAGATTGTAACAAGGTAGCTGGAACTTCGCTATAGGTGGCACAATACCCGCTGGTGAAATTTCCCAGAAACCTGCCTTTTCCACTGTATATGCTGTAGCACGTGTAGTTCCCTGGTTATACGGTGACACCCTCAGGTGGTTTGGGGGTCTTAGTTATTATAGAATCCTCATTTTTCCAAGATTCACACACTGACTGGTTAGTCCCAATGTTAATAAAAAGACTCAGGAAGCACACTTCTATGTCAAGAGGTAAGGTTAAGGGTACAGTACCGAGGTGGGGTCTGGCTCACCCACATACATAGCAGTTAGTTTTATTATGTTTGTTAGCATTATATCTCATCCACTCTAGCCATAGGTTAGTATCAGAGAATTCTGTCTATACTGCCATAGTATCTTCAAACGTAGGGTCTGCTATAGCAATCATGTCCTTTAAGGTTTGGTGGATTGGTGATCACATGTTGGGGAGCTACCCACTCGGGTGATTTGTACATATCTTGGAGGTAAAAACTTCCCTGTTTATTATAGGAACCCCCACCTCTCCAATACATTCCCAGTATATATTGGCCAGCATCACCAGGGCTAGGATTTAATATGTTTAGGGTGAGTTTCATGGGTGTCCCCCCCTCTTGGTTTAAATAGTCATTCTGTCGAGAAGTAGGGCATCCATCAGATCCTTGATAGCCATGTTGTGTTTGATCGGTGTGCCAGTTGCTGTGAGAAATCCTCTTATTTTCCAGATTACTCCAAAGTCATGGGCCACGCCTGGTGCATATCTTGAGTCAGTGTAGATATTGGCGCGTTTTCCTTCAGAGATCTTGCATGCTGTGGTGAGAGCCTGTAGCTCATGGATGAGGTGAGCGAGGATGCTTGAAGTACTTTATCCACTGTGGTGACAGCAAATCCAGTATGGTATCTTCCTTGTTCATCAGCATATCTGGAGCCATCTAAAAACAGGGTGAGGTCAGGTTCTTGTAAAGCAGCATCATGTACAGTTGGGAGATGTGTTGTCTCCATCTTCATTTGCTCAAAGCAATCATGAGATGGATCCGGATCTTGGTCCGTAGGGAGAATGCAGCTTCTGCGTGGAATTGGGGATAGCCAGTGACTCTAGTTCTGGGTTTATTTGAGGATAACCTTTTCAGAGGTGTTGGGTCTGGTCTTTACGGCTCCACAATTTTGCCATTGGGCCAAGATTTCTGAGGTGACTTGGTTATAGAGATGTGCAGGATTTATCTGTCCTCCCCTGATCTCTTCCCGTCCCTCTTGACTCGTGTCTCTGACTGCCTCTCATCTGTGTCCCAATGATGATACAGATGAGTAGCTTCCGGGGGCTGTTGCCCTTGGAATCACAGAACTTGGAATGCCACTTCCACCAATTGGAACAAATCTTCATAGTGGGGGTCAGGTCCTGGGGTAGGTTTGTACCACAAGGTGCAGTGAGGGAATACATGAGTATCATAGATGAAGGGCATGGTTTGGGCCCTTCTGAATTCAGTCAGAAAGAAACAACTGTAGATTAGGTCTATGTCCAGGCTGTACCAATACTGTGTAGGTCCCCCCTCGGGAAGTGGCAGAAGAGTGGCCAGGTTAAGGGAGTAACATCTCTGTAGGGACACACTGTCAGAGAGTAATAGAGCACATTGTAAGCGAAAGTGGCTGGCAGAAGAGAAATGCTTGAGATGGACTTGATTGAGGATAGCAGCAATGTCATGAAGAGCGAGGATAACAATAGGATGGCCAAGGATCAAATCATTGGTTTTGTCAATGAGAGCATGTGCAGCAAATACAGCTCTGAGACAGGAGGGGCCGCCTCTTGCTACAGCATCCAGTTGGCAAGAGAAAAATCCAATGGGTCGTTGACGTGAGCAATGGGGCTGAGTGAGGACCCCAGTGGCATGCCCCTTTCTTTCTGACACTAACAACATAAAGGGTTTCTTGTAATCAGGAAGGCCCAGGGCCGGTGCAGAGGAGATGGCACGTTGCAAGGCATGGAAGCAGGAGAGAGCCTCGGGGGACAGAGAAAAAGGTTCAGTCTTGAGGCCGTCATAGAAAGGTTGCATGAGGATGTGGGATGCTTGGCAGTATGAGATTAGGCCCAGGAAAGCATGGAGGAGGTTTATGTGCTGTTGGGGGAGGAATAGTCTTGGTAGCCTTTACCCGGTCCCGGGTGAGAGGGCGGGTACCATATGAGAGTGTCCTAGGAAAACTACAGAGGGTTGGCACCACTGCAGCTTCTGCTTGGAGGCCTTGCATCCTTGTTCTGCGAGATAGCAGAGGAGATCTTCAGAAGTACGCTCAGCAGTGGGGAGGTCATCAGCATAGAGGAGGAGGTTGTCCACATATTGAAACAGGACCACATTAGTGTGGGCCTCTTGCCATGAGTCCAGAATTGAAGCCATTGCTTTTGCAAACTGGCTGGGAGAATTTTGTGCTCCTTGAGGCATGACAGTCCAGGGGAATTGCTGACGTTCATGGGTGAAGGCAAACAGATGTTGACACAAAGGATCCAAGGGTACACTGAAGAATGCATTAGCCAGATCCACCACTGTGAAAAACTTGGAGGTAGGTGTGACCCAAGACAGAAGTGTGTGTGGGTTAGGCACAATGGGGGTATCCAAAACAGTAGCTTCATTAACAGCCCAGAGGTCTTGAACCATTCTGTATTTTTCAGGCTCCCCTTTTGCAGATTTCTTCTTCATGGGGAACAAGGGTGTGTTGCAGGGAGACACACAGGGGACCAAGGCACCAATGGACAGGAGACTTTTAACCTGCTGGGAAATAGCATGGGCTGGGCAGGCTGGAGGTAAGGATACAGGGCGGGAGAACATGAGATAACTGGTTTCCTGGGGAGTTATAGTGACACAGTAACAGAGGTATTGAGGGCCCTGCTCAGTGAGTTTACATGCTAGAGTTTACATGCAGTGACACAGTAACAGAGGGATTGAGGCCCTGCTCAGTGAGTTTACATGCTAGAGGGAGTGGAGTATAGTGACAAAGTAACAGAGGGATTGAGGGCCTGCTCAGTGAGTTTACATGTTAGAGGGAGTGGGGTATAGTGACAGTAACAGAGGGATTTAGGGCCCTGCTCAGTGAGTTTACATGTTAGAGGGAGTGGGGTATAGTGACACAGTAACAGAGGGATTGAGGGCCCTGCTCAGTGAGCTTACATGATAGAGGGAGTGGGGCATAGTGCAACAAAAAGGTAAGGGTAGGGTAGAAAAGTAGGTTGCTAGGCTAGTGTACATTGAGGGCTTAGTGTTGCTTTGATGACCGTTTCAGGAGAGGAATCAGGGTGCGGGGAGGTAAAGCTGTTCAGCTTAATTGACATGCTTTCCTAAAGAAGTTTTGAAGGAGTAGAGATTGGGTGAGAGTCTAACAGAGAGGAGAACCGTGCAGATTTGTGTATTAGTGAGGATAAGTAGGTCGGAGCAGCATTATGTAGAGATTTGTAAGCAAGTATCAGGATCTTAAATGGAGTCAGATATCTTTCGGAAAGCCAATGTAGGGACTAACAAAGAGGGAGGTGTGGGCGGACAGGAAGATGGGCCTTGCCGCTGCATTCATTATAGACTGTTGTGGGACAAGTTGGGAACACTTAAAACCACTGAGAAACGGATTACAGAAATCAAGGCAAGAGAGGACAGTGGCATGGACAAGCGCCTTTGCGTTAAATAGGGTAGGATGCGAGCAACGTTTTTGAGATTGAAGTGGCAGGTTTTGGGGATTGTTTGGATGAGGGGTGAAGGAGAGGTCAAAGTCAAAGAGAACACCTAGGTAGCGAGCCTGCGAGGTACAGCTGATGGTAGCGCCATTGACTTGGAGGGAAACTGACAAGGGAGTAGCAACACTTGAGGGATGGAAGATTAGAAGTTCTGTTTTAGACCGGTTCAGTTTAAATGAGCTGCCATCCAATTGGAAATAGCAGAGAGGCAGTCAGAGACACGAGTCAAGAGGGACGGGGAGAGATCAGGGGAGGACAGGTAGATTTGAATGTCAAACGCATAGAAATGATACTGGAAGCCAAAGGGGCTGATGAATTAGAATAAGAAACCAAGGACAGACCTTTGGATGACACTAACAGAGATTGGGTAGAAGAGGCAGTCAGAGAAAGAAACATTGAAAGAGTACTCAGAGGTAGGAAGAGCACCAGGAGAGAGTGAAAACGGAGGCCCGTTACAGGTTGCTGATAGCTCCATATACCATGGCGGCTTCATAGAGTTGTTTAGGTTGAAAACGCTCCAATTGAGGTCAACCTTTTAAATTACTATATAGGCATCTCCAGGGTGCCTGCTCCACGTCTCTAGTGTTCGCCAGGCTACATATGACTGCTACAAGTTGGCAGCAACATGGCATGTATGGGCCATCAGCAACACTGAATGTATAAAATGTTTATGCCCCCATCTCCTGCCATGGACAACAAATAAATTCCGCAACCACAGTAAAAATAGGTTTTATTAGTAATTTCATATTTAGTTAAAAACATAAAAGCAAGATTATAATTAAGAAATCCAGTACGTCTCATTGCGGGAGGATGAACCAGCCAGTGCTATAATATGACAGTGGAACATTACATGCTGTCACGGCCCAGGCTGCTCAGTCACCGGCTCTAATAGAAGCCTGCTCGTGGACAACTTGGTGGAGTGTTGGAGACTTTGGAGTGTTGGACTTGAAATGAATCAATTCAGAGCAGCTTAAAACAAATCTGAGGAAATAACTCAAAAAACACCATTCTTTTCCAGTGTCCTGTGTAAAACATGAAACAAAGCCATAAATAGATCAAACGTGAGATAATCTGACTGGTTCTAAATAATCTGGGCGTATGGGAGGACAGTCTGGTAGTTTCTTAATTGCATTTAGCCCTTGTACAGCACTACAGAATATGCAGAATTTCCAATAACATGGTTCTCTCCTAGTTCACATGAGGTGACGCCTCAGCTACCCTGGACAGTGCATTAATCAAACAAAGCTTGATTTACATCGGAGAACAGTCCACAATTCCAAGAACCCAAGCAATCGGCTTGACCTTTAACTGGAGTAGGAGAACACAACGTTCTTACATTTATATGTGACACCTACCTCTATGCATTGGCCTCAATTAGTTGGTGAGTTTCTGGTCTTAGAGATTCATCCATTTTCTCCTTCTCTGCTTCCTCCTCCTGCAACTGTCAAAGGAAACCACTTCATGTTGGAGCCCATGTAACCCCACACACAGCCTGCGTCAACCCCCACCCCTCAATCCACAGCTCCTCTTCCCAGTGCCACCGGCAGCCTCCATCTCTCCCACCCAGAACGCAACCGGCAGCCTCCATTTCCCCCACCCCGAATGCAATAGTCAAACACACTCTCTTCCACCCTTAATGCAATAGTCAAACACACTCTCTCCCACCCCGAATGCAATAGTCAAACACACACTCTCCCACCCCGAATGCAATAGTCAAACACACACTCTCCCACCCCGAATGCAATAGTCAAACACACACTCTCCCACCCCGAATGCAATAGTCAAACACACTCTCTCCCACACCGAATGCAATAGTCAAACACACTCTCTCCCACCCCAAATGCAATAGTCAAACTCACTCTTTCTCACACTGAACAGAGCAGCCAAGATAATATGTTGCTTTGACTCTGGGAAAGATGCTGAACTGCATTAATACACACCCTCTGTCTAAGGTAAGTCTCTCCACATGGGCCAATGCCACGCAGGATAAATGCCACCACACAGCAGCGCACAGATAGTGCTGTCTCCACAGCTGAAAGGAACATGGAAGGAAACCACAAAGCTAGTGTAGTGTCCTGCAAAGAAAATAAATCATGTTAAATCAGTGTAAATCACCCTCTGGGTTTAACAGATATAGCATCTGCTCATTCCCAATCTCAACAACCCCGATACCTCGCTAATTCAATCAAAACTTCCATACCTAGCCTCCAAACCCAGATACTATGCTAATTCAATCCAAACCTCCATACCCGACATCCAAACCCTGATACCTCACTAACTAAATCCATACTTTATACTCCACAGAATAGAATGTCCATTTGTACCTACAGTGAAAAAAAATATCTGCCATTATCTCCTTCTACCATGTAGAAGCAGAGGACAAGAAAAGGATCTACATGTAAAATCCCCAACTTTCAGATTAAATCAATTTCTTCAAAAATCTGAGCATAATCTATTTTTTGTTGAATAAAATAAAATGAATTTTTTAAACTTAAACATTTAATCTTTGCTATTCGGCTAGTTTATATAATTTATTGCCAGATCACTGTAAGCAGTTTTTCTGTGTACTGTTAGCTCCAATCTCCCACCAATATCTCCCTATGGTACTCACATATATTCGAGTTGTATCAAAAGGGCACTCGTTGCTCATAACGACAGAGCGTGTTTCTGCAGGCAGAATGGTGGAATTGCAGCCAGATATCAAGTTCTTCCCTCCGTTGGCAATGGTGAGGGAGATGGAGAGGATTAAACCCAGGAAACAGGCAGCAGAGAGCAGGGAATTCAGCAGGGAGAGAACCAGGAGAGCCCAATGCTGCACGGAACAAAAACATGAGAGGCAGGCAAGGGGAACGGGGAGAGAGAGAGAGAGAGACCAGGAGAACGGGGAGAGAGAGAGAGACCAGGAGAACGGGGAGAGAGAGAGAGAGAGACCAGGAGAACGGGGAGAGAGACAGAACGGGGAGAGGCAGGCAAGGAGAACGGGGAGAGGCAGGCAAGGAGAACGGGGAGAGGCAGGCAAGGAGAACGGGGAGAGGCAGGCAAGGAGAACGGGGAGAGGCAGGCAAGGAGAACGGAGAGAGGCAGACAAGGAGAACGGAGAGAGACAGACAAGGAGAACGGAGAGAGACAGACAAGGAGAACGGAGAGAGACAGACAAGGAGAACGGAGAGAGACAGACAAGGAGAACGGAGAGAGACAGACAAGGAGAACGGGGAGAGGCAGACAAGGAGAACGGGGAGAGGCAGGCAAGGAGAACGGGGAGAGACAGACAAGGAGAACGGAGAGAGACAGACAAGGAGAACGGAGAGAGACAGACAAGGAGAACGGGGAGAGACAGACAAGGAGAACGGGGAGAGACAGACAAGGAGAACGGGGAGAGACAGACAAGGAAAACGGGGAGAGACAGGCAAGGAGAACGGAGAGAGACAAACAAGAACACACACACAGAACGGGGAGAGACAGACAAGGAGAACGGAGAGAGACAGACAAGGAGAATGGGGAGAGACAGACAAGGAGAATGGGGAGAGACAGACAAGGAGAATGGGGAGAGACAGACAAGAACACACACACAGAACGGGGAGAGACAGACAAGGAGAATGGGGAGAGACAGACAAGAACACACACACACACAGAACGGGGAGAGACAGACAGGAGAAACACAGGTTTTTTTTCTTCTTATTGATTAGGAGGAAAGAAATAAGATCACAGTGATAAATGATAATTATAGCACAAATAATGTAAGAGAAACATAGGTGAGGATATAAAAATAGATTATATATTGGCTAAAGCGTATTAAGAAAAGGTGTGTGGTCACTGGTTAAAGCGTTTTGGAATTCTGCATAAAAATGGTATTGAAGGGTTGAAAATTTTCTTGCATTAAACTTTTATATAAGATATATACCGGTGTGCTCTAGTTTGCTGCTTAATCCGGCTGTAGGTTCGTAAGAACTTAGAAGCGTGTCCTTCTTCCTTGACTTGGTCAGGAGAGTTAGGTCACACTTATTTAACCCCTTAAGGACCAAACTTCTGGAATAAAAGGGAATCATGACATGTCACGTGTCCTTAAGGGGTTAAAGGGTAGGTGTTGTGGGATGCCTGTCTTGAGGCACAAGAACTTATCCATATGAGTATAATATGAGAACATTATGTTAATATGTTTGTAATTGTATGTGGCTGCCAGCAGGGTATAAATAAATTGGTTATATATTATATTTCTTTGTGGTTAAATTTTTTACTGTAAATGTACAGGGAATACATTCTAAATTTTAAAAAAGACAAATGGTGTTAAAAACTATGAAAAATGAAGCAGTAGATATATGAATGATTCAAGAGATACATTGGAAAGCAAAAATGGTGGAAAAATAAATTTAGAAATATATCATAATGGCCACCCATCTTTTTTTATCATCAGGTAGGGATGCTGGATAAGTAGATATTAAATATCAGAGTAAAGAGGAGGAAGGTCGGAATATAGTATAGGTGTTTGTCATTAATAATCAGTTATTTACTTTTCTACCATACCTTTACCTTTTGTGTCACTTTACCCCACTCTCTGTAGCATGTAAGCTCATTGAGCAGGGCCCTACGTGTACAGTGATGCGGAACTTGTTGGCGCTTTATAAATAATAATAATAAACCTTAGTCAATGTTTAAATACCAAACGTAGATCCAGTTAGATAGGATTTTGGAAGTTAGAAAGGTCAAAATGGGTCAACTTTTAATTGCAGGTGACCTAAATTGTGTTACTGACTTATTTAGTTATTTAAAAAAAAAAAAAAAAATGCTTTCAACAATATAGATAAAACCTATTAATTAATCAAAAGAATTGAATAAATGTACTCATGGAGCAAATTTAGCAGATATTTGGAGTGTTTACCATGCCAGTGAAAAAGACTACACACATTTTTCTAAAAGTTCATTTGTCACTTGATTATGGGAGAAATGTCAATAGTTGGCAACACAAAAAGGGTCTCTATCAAAGATAATGTGAGGTCTGACCACAGTTTGGTATTCCTTGAGCTAAAAAAAAAAAAAAATGCAGTTAAAGGAACATCAAGAACTACGTGGCGTATGGATGGTTACATTCTTACGAGTAAATCGAATCAAGAATACTTACGCAGCACAATTTTTATTTTCAGGAGAATGTCTCGGAGGAAATTTGATATAAAGCTTTAAAGCTGTGGTGAGAGGGCATATTAAAATAAAATCTAACTAAATTAAAGAAAAGGGTGCTACTTTGGCAGATCAATATATACACAAATTCTACAAACTCTCAGGAAATTAAAAATAACTTCACAACTGCAGTTCAAAATAAATTTGAGAAAATGTTAAATAGAATAAAGCAGCTAGAACTAAAACAATCAAAAACTTGGGCTATCTTAAAATGAAATTCTACCATAGAAGGAATAGGGCGGACAAAATCCTAACAAAAACTCAATGATATTAAGAGAAAGTGTCTTTGATTAGAGTAAAAAAATCAAGTCTATATGACACCAAAAGAAATAGCGGATGCATTATTCGACTTTTATAAACATCTATATAAACCTTCCCACAAAAACCTCAAGAGGGAATTAAAAATTACCTTAAAATAACATTACCCAAATTTCCATTTAAAAAAAATAAATAAATAAAAAAAGAATAGATTAAAGTCATCAATAAAAAGACTAGAAGTAGAGAGGAATTTAAAAATGAATGCAAAATAAAATGCCAGGTCTAGACGGCTTAAGCTTTTTTTTTTTTTTAAATATAAAAAAAACGAAATTTCTGATTATTTAGTTAAAACCTATGAGATTGTGATGGGGGGCCTTTTCTACAGAAATGTTAAAAGCAAATATTCTAACAATTTTAAAACAAGGAAAGGACTCATGAGAATTAACTAGTTATCGCCCAATCTCATTAATCGATGTAAATACAAAAGTTATTTTCCTCAGTTTTAGCTGAACGCTTGAAAGATATTTTGCTTACCATGATCCATCAAGATCAGGTTGATTATGTTCCAGGCAGGTCATGGTGCATTAATATTAGACATATACTCAATATTTTGGACTCGGCAGAGCAAAACGGCACTCCTCCTTACCCTGTCTGACGCAGAGAAAGCGTTTGACAGGGTGGTAGAAGAGTACATGCTTGCAACACTACAGGCTTATGGTCTGAACGACTGGATGCTGGCAGCAATAAAATCTCTATACAGCTCCGGCTGCAACTTTAGTGGGTATAAACTATAGTTTAGACTGGTTGAAACTAAAAAAACAGAACCAGGAAAAGCTGTCCACTGTCCCCAATACTATTTATAATGTCCATTGAACCATTCGCTACAAAAATTTAGAGACAAAGAGATAAAAGGTTATCCAATTAAAAGTAACGAGTCAAAAATTTGCCTTTACGAAGAAGTTTTTATTTTCTTGACTGATCCAGATAAATCATTAAAAAAAAAAAAATGTAATAGAAGAAATAGATATGTTTACTCATGTTTATGGTTACAAATTAAATATGGACAAAAACAAAAACTGTTGCCCAATTTTTAAATATGGATAAAAATAAAAAAGAGAATTGGCAGTAGCTATAGCTTTGATTTCTCTAAAAGAAAATTTTAGGTCAGTTAGAATTATAATTCCTAAATACAAAAAAAGGATAGCCAAGCTCAATATTTTAAATACCATAAGATCTATGAATAAGATTTTAAAGGAGTGGAGTGATAAGGACGTTTCATGGTATGGACGAATTAACATTATAAAACCTTATGTCTTACCTAAGTGGATCTACTTAGTCAGGATGCTGTCCTTAAGTTCCACAGCTCCTTGGTTTAAACAAGTACAAAGAAGATTTAGAAATTTTGTATGGAAAGGTAAAATTGCACGCATCAGTTATAGCATATTGTCAAAAGATACTAAGAATGGCGGTTTAAGTTTTCCTATTATGTATCAGTATTATGAGGCCAGTATCCTTTACCATGTAAATAGATTGGTATTATTTGGAGGAGGCAAAGAATTCAGATTGTAAGACCGTATCTACATTTATTTGGAAAATAAAAAATTAAAAATCTGCAGATAGGTAAAAATAGTTGTATGATTCATAGTTCAATAATACCATTATGGTACAAGTTTAAAAAAGAAACAACGCTAATCTAGCAAATAAAGTCCCAAATCCAGCAACATTCAAGTAACAAAACAAAAACTGGAAAGTGTATATTTGAAAAACTGGAGAAGAGCAGGTATTAAAAGTGTAGACCAAACTGAAAATACCATTAAAAAAAAAAGTTTGAAGACTGTATTTCGACTGAGTACTTCCCCAAATCCCAAGTGAAACCGTGATCAGATCTCTTAGCTACCCAAACATCAGCAGAGACTTGATTAACGGTACAACAGGAATATCTTTAATGGGACAACAATTTATACAAAACATGGCCCTGGAACACTCCCACAGCACGACTGTGCATAAAGAATAAAAATACCCCAAAACATAGCAAAGACAAAATAACCCCACACATAATACAAAATCAAATAGCTCCTGGTCCCAGCTATGATCCCTGCAAATAGCGGAGCTATCGGACGTACAGAGCCCAAGATATCGTTGTATAAAGTCCGGGCTTGAGGCTCTGTACATGCCCGGAAATAGTTCCACAGAATCATTTGGTTTAGGCCGGCAGATTCAAACTTCATGCCTAAACCACGCGACCAATCAGCACTCAGGGAGGGGTTTCAAGCTAGGCCCTTGAACTCACACCGGCCTATCAGGAGAAAGGGCGCAAACCAGTTTGACCAATCAGCGCCCTATTATAGGGACCGCCATAAATGTCATATCCCCGATAGCCTGGACCTGAGCGCCAAAGTTATCCATATAGCACTCATCCCACGAACACAGATGAATCGTCACCGGGGTAGAGTTTTGACGGACCACTCGGGAGGTGCTTGCCCAAAACAGTTCCATTGTTTCATGGGTAGTGGTCGGTCTATTTCGCGAGTCCCAAACCAAACAAAACCACAAACGGTTATCCTGGCTCATAGGTAGCTTTTGTTCACTGTGTTCATGCGAACAAACCTACCGAACAACGCTCTCCTGGCTTGTCCATAAAAAGAAGCAGGCATTCGCAAAGTTGACCGGATGTTTGTAGAGTCGAGTGTCCGAATTGAAGTTCCAGACACTCTACTGCCTCTTTTCATGCGACAAGCTTGCCGTCGTTTTCTCCAGCACATGTTGTTCAGCCACACAGTGAGATCACCAATTCCTGCGGTTTTCTTGAACTTCATGAGCCAGGGGGGTGTTCGGTAGATTTATCTACCTAACCAAGAAAAATAATGAATGGGAACCAAATTAGGTAGTTTTCTTTGCAGGCTGGAACAGCGAGTGTAACAGGGTTGGGGACACAGTTTGTGACAAAACACAGACATTGTTTGCCTCCAAAAGAAATGTTTAATTACATTAGAGTAAAACTTTTTTTTGAAGGCCTGAGAATTAAAAACAACATCTTTATGCATAAAGAATAATAACAGATGTGTAAAATTTATTAAATTACTAAACAAAGCGAAAGAAATAGAAATGCAACTATATGGGGAAAAGTTCTCAACTTTAATATCGACAATCAGGAATGGAACCTAGAATAATCTAATTTTATTAAACACATTCACGATCTCACAATCTGCACAGAAATGCACTTTCATTAATAGATGGTATTTTGTCCCAACCAGGTTGGCTAGATTATTTTCTGATGGAAATAAAAGATGCGAGGATTAGACAGGTTTGATTTTATTGAAAAATCTTTAAAAACATACTAAAGTTACCCCAGAGAGAGCCTTGTTATATATGAACTTGTCAGGATAGTGGGGATCCTAAACAGAGTGTAACGAAAGTAGTAACGTACCGGACCTTAGAATGGGCGGGTGGATGTTACGAAAACAGAGAATAAACAGGACGAGCTGAAGTCAGGGAAGCCAGAAGTCAGGAAGGACAAGGGTACACAAGCGGAGTCAAAAGGATAACAGATAGGAGAATAGTCAAGCAAGTCGAACCTATCAGGGCAAGGAACCTCTCTCACAAAATCCTTTTTATACTGTGGCTGTCTCTGGTAGGATGATAGATGACATTTTTCTGACGTTTTGGTGATTAATTTTCGCGTCATAAAAGGGGCGGAGCTATCGCGGCCGACGCGAAAATGACTGGAGGCAGTGGGAGAATGCCTGGACGGGTCCCCAGAACCTTGTAAGCGGACTTCAGTGTGAGGCACATCCTGTGTCCACACAAAAGGTACCCTGACAGAACTTGACCGAATGCTTAAAAAAGCAGGCCTATATAATAACGCCTATATCTTTCTTCTGCTTTTGACACTGTTGATCATCAACAGCTTCTTCTCATTCTCCGTAATCTCGGTCTACGGGATACTGCTGTCTCTTCTGGTGCTCCTCCTTCCTCTCCCAGCGCTTTTTCAGTATTTCTTTCTTTGGCTCTGCCTTTTCTCCCCAACCCCTCTCTGTTGGTGACCCCAAGATTCTGTCCTTGGTCCCCTACTGTTCTCTATCTATACCGTCTCCCTTGACTTCTGTTACCATTTCTATGCAGATGACACCCAAACCTACCTTTCCACTCCTGATCTCTCTCTGCCCATCTTGACTCATGTCTCTGACTGCCTCTCTGTGATTTCCAACTGGATGGCTGCTCACTTCCTTAACCCCTTAAGGACCAAACTTCTGGCATAAAAGGGAATCATGACATGTCAGACATGTCATGTGTCCTTAAGGGGTTAAACTCAACCTGTCCAAAACAGAACTTCTGGTCTTTCCTCTCTCAAATGTTACTACTCCTGTGTCTGCCTCCCTTCAAGTCAACGGCGCTACCAACACCTCTACATCGCAGGCACGCTGACTGGATGTTCTCTTTGACTCCAACCTCTCCTTCACCCCTCATGTCCAATCAATTACCAAATCCTGTCACTTCCATCTCAAAAACATTGCGTGCATCTGCCCCTATTTAACGCCAGATGCGGCTAAGGTGCTGGTCCATGCTGTTGTTCTCGCTTGCCTTGACTACTGCAATACCCTTCTCAGTGGTCTTACGTGTTCCCAGATTGCACCGCTGCAATCAATTACCGCGGCGGCAAGACTCATTTTCCTGTCCTCTCGCACCTCCCACGCCTCCACGCTCTGTCAGTCCCTGCATTGGCTTCCAGTTAGATATAGGGCTCAATTTTAAATTCTGGTGCTTGCTTACAAGTCCCTACATAAGTATGTCCCATCGAGGCCCCTACGCTCTGCCAAAGACCTACGTATATCCTCTGTCCGTACTCCCACCTCTAATGCTCGCCTCTAAGATTTCTCCAGGGCTGCACCTCTTCTGAGGAACTCCCTTCCCTACTCAGTAAGAATTTCACCCAGTCTCCACTTATTCAAACAATCATTGAAAACCTACTTCTTCAAGAAAGCATATCAATTAAACAGGTTTTTATTCCCCCCCCAATGACTCTTCTCCTGCAACTGTTAAAATTACCTACTAAGCCCTCAGTGAATACTCTTCTAACAACCTACTTCATACACCTACTTTTACCCTTTGTTTCACTATACCCCACTGTGGCAGAACCAGCCTCGCCACTGGGCATTGGAGAAGACGGATTGCCAGCCTCCTGCCCTGTGACTATGGCCCCATGTTGAAATGCTTGATTTTCCCCTGCAAAGACCTGAAAGCCGGGTCATTCGGTACTTTCCCTATGTGAGCAGTGTTACCCCAGATAGCTATGCCATGGAGCCCATTTGTATAACGAAAGACTATGTGAAAGACTTTGGCTCCATGGCAATTGAACTGTATGTGTGTGCTCTGAGCGCCATTCAGTAATAATGTGTGCTCAGATCTAAGCTATCTGGGGATATGTTGAATGTACCTGTTTTGTGCAATGGCTGCACAGTTATATATTTGTATGTATTTTATTGTCTTTTGGTACCATGTGGCTAATGGAGTTTTGCCTCTGTCCTTGGAGATAATTTGATTACTTCCCAATTATCTCCAGGATAGAAGACTCTGTGGAACTGGTTTTGGGCAGAAAAGCCATGCTTCATTTGGTCACAAAGAACGTTGATCTAACTTTTAACCCACTGGACCAATTTGTATGATTGTGACATATGTTGGTATTTGGAGTATGGGGATTCTGAAAATGTATGTTTTATGTGAATGTGATGCATACTTTTGTAGTTATGAATATTGTGTAAAACTGTATTTTCCTGCCTGTGATAATTATATTAACCCATTGTGTAAGGTAATTGTATCACAGGCAGAGGGGAGGATTTTGTGTGGGAGTGTCTGAGTGTATTGTACATGTTTATTGGTTGTTTTACAAAACCCTGTGGGTGGTACTAATGTGTATATAAGAACAATAAACCCACAGCTCTGTCAGTTCTACTTCACCCTCAATTTGGAGTCTTGCCTCTTATTGGGGGATCTGCTACAAGGGATTGCTATGCTCTGCATATTCCCTTGCTATAATCACTCCTAAGCTCTGGTAAGAGCTTGTTCCTGTCTTGCCCTCTGAGGGAGTCTACGGTGGTTAAGGTGTCTGCTGCAGTGCTTGGAGTCCTCAGGAAGCGCTAGGAGCATCCTTCAACGGAGGTATCCAGTCAGGGTGCCCGTCGATCCGTTACACCCACTCCCTCTAGAATGTAAGCTCATTGAGCAGTGCCTTCCACCTCTCTGTTCCTGTACGTCCAGTTGTCTGGTTACAATTACATGCCTGTTAGTCCACCCATTGTACAGCACTATGGAATGTGATGGCGCTATATAAATAATGTGCGCAGCAGTTAAGATCTTAATTGCATGAGTCTGGAAACAGAAGCATTAGTTTTTCAAGATCAGCCTTCTTGAATCAACTCCTTTGGCAGTTAAAGATTAAAATAGGTAGTCTCTGGAAAAACAAAACATCATCTGTGATTATGCTCTTGAATTAGCACACATCTTCTTAAACTTGAATTTTTTATTGAAGTCTTTGTACCCAGCTTGGCAGCCAATTTTATGTTCATTTATGGCTGTCTGATTAAAGTAATGTGATTTTCTTTGCATTGTCAGTATATTTATACTGGAAAACATTTTGTGTTAAGACAAATTAAGTGTATACTGCCAGTCACCCTCAGAACAGAGGTGACTCAATTTTGTATTACAAGGCTAAAACAGACACAAGATTTCTCACTCTCTATAACTATTCATTCAAGTCTGAGCTAAGGAATGCAACTTATGTAAACAAGACAAGAGATAAGGCACAATGTCTAAAGCAAAAGGGAGGTTGAATGCTCTCTATATATATATACACACACACACACACACATACATACATACACACACACACATATTAAAAATATAGAATATTCATGGATATAATATCAATTAAGAAATATATCATATTTACTAATGTTAGTGGAGTATAAATAATCTTAAAGGACCACTATAGTGCCAGGAAAACATACTCATTTTCCGGATATTATAGTGCCCTGAGGGTCCCCCTCCCGCCGGGCTCTGGGGAGAGGAAAGGGGTTAAAACTTACCTTTCTCCAGCGCCGAGCGGGGAGCTCTCCGCCTCTGATCCTCCTCCTCTCCTCCCTTTCGGCTGAATGCGCACACACGGCAAGAGCTGCGAGCGCATTCAGCCGGTCTCATAGGAAAGCATTTACAATGCTTTCCTATGGACGCTTGCGTGTTCTCACTGTGATTTTCACAGTGAGAATCACGCAAGGGCCTCTAGCGGCTGTCAATGACACAGCCACTAGAGGATTTGAGGGCTGGATTAACCCATTTATAAACATAGCAGTTTCTCTGAAACTGCTATGTTTATAAAAAAAAAAAAAAAAAATGGGTTAAACCTAGAGGGACCTGGCACCCAGACCACTTCATTAAGCTGAAGTGGTCTAGGTGCCTAGAGTGGTCCTTTAAACACAGTTTCACACAGGAAAAACAGACATCAAATGACTGATAACACTAAGTAATTAATTTTACTTTCTAAAAAAAAACAAACCAAACCAAACACTAACGGAATCTTACAAAGTTGCATTGTAAGAAAGAGGTGAAGAAGAGTTTAGACAATTTTAGAAAGCTAGATTTAAAAGGTATATGCCAGACACCAAGACTGTGTAAGAGTGAACCAAAAAGTATTTTAAGTTGACAGGTTCTTTGATATATAGTGGCCATAAAAAGATAACAAAACATCAAACGCATCACAAAATTCAGTTAACCCATTATACAAAAAGGTAAATGGACACCCTGACAAAAATGTTTGGTGATGTAATTGTGCCACCTACTGACCAAAATCTAGATGATAGTCTGTAGGGAAGACACACCCACAGTTCCCTATTGGACCTATCAACTAGTGATGTGCAGATAATTTTCCACTTTAAAAAGTAAGGACAAAGGGAGGAGAGGACAGATTCTGACTCTCTGATACTCTCAAACTCTCTGGGTCTTACATATTCTGACTCTTGGACTGGACTCAAGGCTCCCACTTTCAGACTCTCAAACACTCTTGGACACACCTAATTCTTTATCTTTTCCAACTAACACAACTTTTCTATTTTCCACAATTCTTCTCATACTTGCATTCGAAATTCCTGGGATATATCTACACATCTGATAGAAAATCTACAACCTAACTGGTAATTATGCAGGTTGTATTTAATTAAATTAATTAATTTTACTAATAGCAGGAATATATATCTGCATAAATCGTGGTCAGATTTAAAATTATTAGAAATCATAATTAGCTAAGGAATATATGGTTCTAAAAATTCCATTCCTGCAGGTGGATAAAGATAACGATATGTTAACAGTAAATTTACCAAATTTTTATCCAGAGGTATTGACTTGTTCTGATATGAGATAGTGAATCTTAATTAGGAAAGTTTAAATTCTGCAAACGTAAAATCTGGTAGAATTATTCTTATTGGATGGACAGAGGAATGGTCAAATGATCTAGTATGAACATTAATTTAATTGTATATCTTGCCTATTGTAACCAGCAGTGGAAGAGTTAATTCAGTGTGATTTGACTGTCAGCCAAAGTTTTTATTGCTTTACACTGCACTGCTGTGTGTTCTGTGAAGTTCTGTCTTCTCTATAAATTTGATTTCTAAGTGGAGTGCCCAATCTTAAATCTTAAACTGTTGACAACTGTGCATAGAACCGTTGCTTTTAGCTGTTTATATTGTATACTTATGTTATCTCTAAATATTCACTGATTATTGTCACGCATGTGTGGCAAACCTAGCCACTTAAAGGACCACTATAGTGCCAGGAAAACATACTCGGTTTCCTGGCACTATAGTGCCCTGAGGGTGCTCTCCTCCTCCGATCCTCCTCTTCTCCTCCCCGTCAGCTGAATGCG